TTTTTCTTCATGTATGGTTCTTGGGTGTTCTATTAAATCTAAATTGCAATTAGAGTTTGCCTGTTGAATGTGGAGTGTATACAGATGTACTTAATTACATCTGAAAATGTGGAAGATGTGAGTATGCGTTCTGCTTGATGACTATGTTCAAGAGTGTTTGGATGTCCTTCATTTCATGATAGATCATGGTAGATCAGATGCATCTTATTAAAACATTACTAACTTACTATAATGCATATGTGTACCCCTCCATTTCTAAAGTTTGTTTTAATCAAATAGTTTCAGAGGTAGTTATACCCTGTAAGTACTTTATTTATAATTTAATTACTTTTGAAAAAATGTTTAAAAAAATTAGGAGAGGGGGGTGGGGGAAAGGGGTACCTTTTCAAACATTTGAATTACATCCATGACCTTTCCTCCCCCCCCCCCCTCCCGGATAATATTCCTGAATCCACCACTGTGTATCTTTTCTGGTCAGTGTGTGTAATAGACCTTTAATTAGTACTAAACCTGTTTCACTTTATGATTCAATAAAGAATTAGAAGCAAATTTTAAATGTTAATGATATTGACTGTAATGTGTTAATACTACCGGGTTATCTCCTCATTTGAAATAGCCCTTAACCTCCCTTTCCCATCTCATTACATGCATTGCATTTGGAGACACATTCACGTTGCAATATCAATGCCAGTAACATTCAAGTGCATCACCCAAAATAACTCCAACCCGATAATTTGTCCCCTAACCCTTAACATGCAATCAATAAGCAATTTTCCTGTTGAGGTTATGAAGTGCATCTATCATGAGCATGTAGTTTGGCCTTCGGAACATCTTCCCATTATCGCTAAGATTTTTTTCCCCTCCTCCTCCTTACCCGATCAATGCCCCCGACTGAATCCAACGACTTGGATTGTTGTCTTAGATGCAGCTGGTGGCACAAACAAGCGTTTGATAGGCTGTCCCGCCCGGCCCGTTCCATCCTTCTCTCATCTAGTTCGTCTGTGTTTGTGTTTTTAAAGAGAAGAGAAGGTTTAGCTCTGATAAAGATGAAATATAATTTGTGAACTTCTAATTTTTATGTATTTGTTGTAATTTTGTCAAAGTAGAAATGTCTCCTGAAAATGTCCTTATATTTGAAATTTGATGATAAGTGGCTGAAAGATTGGACCAAACTTTCCTGCCACATGTGTGCTCAGTCCCATATACCCATTTTTGTGTGCAGTGCAAGCCCGAATACAATTTCTTTTTATACATCAATAATTATTTATACCCTTACCCAAATATGTTATTTGTTAAGTATGTGAAAAATTAGTTTATCCAGATTAATCTTTCTTGAGAATGTGTTATATTAAAGCTTTCATCAAAAAGTATTCAACAAAAACATCAACATTTTAAGGGGTATGAAAAATTTAGTTGTTAACTGCATGTAACAGTTTCAATTGCTTCCACACCGTATCTTTCATAATGTAGTAATTGCATGGCAAGAACTCAACTTTATCTTTAAAGCTGAAGTTCACTGAGTTATCAAGTTTCCTGAAATGGAAAAAATGAATCAGTGAAAGTGTGATGAAAATCTAATAAAGGATAGGGAGGTTATGAGGTTTTGATGTCGTGATCAATCAAACACAAATTGGCAACTCTGTTATTTCATTTGCATCCCCTATATTCTCTCATTCATAAATGGAATAAAACATCATAACAGTCCTTTTCAGGACTTACACACCCTCAAGAAAGATTACAGAGAGTCCTTTTCAGGACTCATCAATCCTCCCTCTCTCTCACATGGTGCATCCGCAAGCCTACTGTATAACATTATCATGGAGTGATGTCTTTTTAATATCTTAATTAATTCATTAGTTTTCTCATGCTTTTGTATGTGTGATTAGTAATGCACATTAACAATTAGAAAGATTATTTTCTTCTTCTGTAGAGCTAATCCAAAAGCAATTATATAAATAATAATAATAGGTCCATTTATGTAGCGCAGCTGCTGTATGTATATATTTAATATGCTTTAAAATACAAAGTATCATATTATGACCTCGGCTATGGCTGAGCTGCCAATGCGCTAAAACATTCAAGGAATTTCTTCCCACTGGGTACCCATTTACTTCACCTGGGTGGAGAGTGGCAGTTGTAGATTAATGTCTTGCCAAAGGACATCAGTGCAGCAGCGGGACTCGACCCATTATTTGCAGTACCTATGCCTGCATTAATGTCATTTTATAATGTCGCAGTGGTTATTGTGGCAGTTTTAACATCCAATGTGAACAAGGCCATAAGACTCACCTGATGCAGCTAGAGCACTAGCTGCATGAAAGTGTGTTTGTAAAGCACTCATCATACCTCAACATCTATCGGGTCTAATGTACACATCTGCATAAGGTTTTTGTTCTGCAGTCATGTTTCATCAACGTTTGCAGTTGGCTAATGTACCTAGGGTTCATACTTGATCATGCTAGCTGTGCAGGTACGTGACATGTCAAAGGAGGGCAGTGAAAAAATACACGGGGGCTCAGGGCGAAATAGCCCCACAAAGTGCTCAAAAGAGCCCCTGAAAATCAGAAAAGAGCCCCCTTAAATTTGCATAGAGTTCAATGCAATACAAATTTTAGAATGTTATTTTCATGCAAGCAAGGTTGAAAAGTAGCCCCCGAAAAATAAATATTATTTTTTTCCCTGAAGGAGGGCTGTGGGGGTGTGTGTGTTGGGGGGGGGGGGGGGGGGTGTAGTCATTGGCGTACCCAAAGTTGATAAACAAGTCGGGAACAGGTGACGGAATATAAACCTGAGCTGCCCATATGCTATATAAGCCCAGAGAAAGTTGAAAAGTCATCTTCCTGCTTCTTCATATGGGCAAGGAAGGAGAGGTATATTTATGCCAGCCTAATGCTGGATACGCCACTTCTATTTAAACATCTGAATTTTTAGATTTGTTTGTCAATGGAGAGGGTATAACTCAGTGTCTTGCAGGAAAGTGTGAGGCTTTTAATAATTTGCAGGCGGCTTTCCTCTCGCCTCTGTGCAAAGGGAGGAACAAGGAAAAAGGGGGAGTGGCAATTGAGAGGGAAAGAGAGAGAGAGAGAGAGAAAAAGAGAGATAGGGAGAGAGGGGGGGGGCGGCGATATTTACTTAGGGAGAGAGGAAGAGAGATGGTAGAAAATAAGAGAGAAAAATAGAAGGGAGAGGCAGTTGAACTATGTTTTAGAATGAAATTGAAGAGAGGGAAAGTAGCAAGAATGCAAGGAAATGTATGTAACAAGAGCTCCGGATTGGATGCAATTGGAGTGAGAGAGGGCAGCTGTAAAACATGTAATCAAGCATTAATCTAGAAATAGAAATCATTTAAATGCTGGAGTTGTATTGGAAAGTGGGGGTGGGGTGGGGAGGGGGTAGTCTTTGCTTAGTATAGACTGTGTCTCATGCTTGAACTAGATTTTAATTTTTGTATCTGTGTCTTCATTGATAGAGAAGGGATAGTAAGGCCTTGTTCGCATGAGGCTGTAAACCATCTTTAAAAAAATGGCCATGGCAAAATGAAATCAATTTTACCTGTAAATAAATGACAAATGATGGTGACAAAGAAGCAGCAACAAATGCCTCAGAGGGTATATTCAAGCAAATAGGATTATAAGATAAAGAAATGTCAACTATACTTGTGTTATTTTGATTTACCCCAGCTGTTTTTAGGCAGTGTTTGAGACTCTGTAATGATTAGATGCCAGGAAAAAAACAAATTTGCAAGATTATTGTGTGAGATTTGCCTACAGCTACGGTATAATACTATGAAACCTTCTGAAAAGGCTGTATCATGTTTTAATTTTAAATATGAAGGAAAAAAATGAATGATGAAACCTTGTTACTCAGTGATTGAAATTGTAAGCTGATATTATGTTTTTCATGGATAAAGCTAGAACACGATCATAAAGAATATACCGGTGAAGAAAGAAAAAAAACCCAAGGCAATTGTGCATCATATTTGTAATGAATGAACATTGTAATAATATAATATGTCTGTTTTGAGCCGAGCCAGAAGGCTTTAACTCAGTGTTAAAGTTTATGAGTGAATGCTTTGCCCCATATAGATGATCACTGAACAGGGATAATGTTACTACATGTCTCTGATCTGAACATGATTTCTACAGAGCGTATAAGAAAAGTCCACACTTTGAAAATATCTTTCAAAATTGTAATTCCTTTCTCACTATCTGAATATGCCACTGGGTGTGTGCACAGCTAGGTATAGGGTTAAAGATCAAATGAATTTTCAAAACAATTATTGATAGGTAACAGAGCGCAACCAATAACTGCTTGATTTGCATTTTGATCCAATCCAAGAAAATAACATTTATGCAAAAACCAATTTTCATGATTTTGTTCAAAATTAGCCGGTGCTCACTCACGTAAAATATTTTCAGTGCTTTTAGTACCATCCAATTGAATAGACCCTCACCCATAATTCCTTAAGGAAAAAATCATGCAGATTTCGTAAAATTATAATTAACCAACTCATTTTTGGCATGTTGTTAAATTCACAAAAATGAAGGCTTTTACATGAAACAAATGATTGATCTTTATATGCTGGCTAAAATGTGAATACCCCATGATTGTATTGTATATATACCTGCATATAAGCTATTGCCATTCAGACTTTTCTTCCTCCTTTTGTTTTTCTTGTAAGTACTTGACAAATTTGTCAGAATTAAATTAGGAAATGGAGGTAGATAGAAGATCATTGAAATAAACAAGCCGTAAGGGGTTCAGAAACTAATCACCATTGACGTCACGAAAGTGATGTCTTCTTCGAAAGGCTAGGACATGATATTGTTTTGTTACAGCTGTGTAATACAACCCCTGTTCAAAGCGTCTCTCATGTTTGTGTGAGTGGGTAAGCGCTCATGTGTTTGTTCGTGTTGGGGGTGAAGTTCAGCTTGAAGCAGTGCCAAATTGTAAGTCGCGATGGCTCAATTTAGAAACCATCTCCAAGCAGTTAAAGATGGACTCTCAATCCCGTTTCTTCTCCTTTTTCTTTCCCAGGGGGATGCAGGGACTGATGCTGAAGACGGAGAGATCGTGTTTGCAAAGTCCAGTCAGTAAACAAGCTTCAAATAAAGGTAAGTGGTTGTTTTGACAAATTTGACTCTCGGCAAACGTGATTCCCGATGCCTTCTCACCTCTACTTCATGACTCTTATCATTTTTGGATGAGATATCAAGTTTAGGATGGACCAACTTGTCGACAACTTTTATAGATCATCATCTTTGTGCTTGAAGGTCTGCCTTTGCGATGGTAATCTTCATAGTTCTATTAAACACTTTGTTGCAGACCAACTTGCCTACTGCTCATCACAATTTGAAACAAAGAGAATGTCTGGTTTTTCTTGGGATGCATTTTTACAAATTTTCCAGATTTTTGTTTCGAAAATCTTGACATCATATTGTGATATTGATCATTAGTTTACTTCCTTCTGACTCTAATGGATGTCATGAGAAAAAATGTATTTGTAAAAACTCTACATTATCATGAAATGATTTTGTAGAGAAGCATATAAATTGCATTTCTATAAATATCTCTTTTCCTTAGAGCCAAAAAGGGCATTAACACGCGTCCGATATGCATTGAAGTAATGATTTTCTGGCTGCAAACGGACGATATGAAGAAAAAAAGCGCACCTCCTGAAATATTCTGCACTAACATGAGATAGGTTTATATAGAAGCCTGTATAGTTACAAATATACACTGTCTTGAGAGGTATTGGTTAACACTATGGGCTAGAGGTCACTCCATTAGTATTGCAGTGACCTCTTGCCCATAGTTTTAACCAATACCTTGAAAAGAAGGCATGATATATTTGTTTTATATTCTACACCAACAACTAATTTTTTTATTATTAAAAAAAATTACAATTCTTATTTAAAAAGTATTACAAATAAAAACAAATTATTGAATTAAGATATTAAAAAACAATAAAAATTCAACAACAAAAAAAATTTCAACTCCCAAATAGTACTTCTACTCCCAAATAGTACTTTTTCAGAGCCACCTTAAAATAGTTGAAATAATTCTGGTCACGTGATGAGCTCTCATCCAATAAAAAACCAATACATTTTTGATGCAGGATATAAAAGTCTGTGTAAATCTTTCCTTACGTTGAGAGCCAAAAAGCACTATATAGTGTCTTTACACACAGAGTTAAGTCAGATATGGTCCTTTTGGCTCTGCATGGACATTTTAAAGAACAAAGCATCTTAAGAAAATTGTCACTATCATGAGATTTTTGTTGTTGTCTTTATTTCTGTTTTTGAGTCACAAGTGCCCTTTGAGCATTTGATTTCAAATGGATTCGTCACCATAAAAATCTCGTATATTATTATCATTATGATTTGATTTTGTAAAGAAGCCTATAAGAATAGCATTTCTAAATACATAATTTGCTGATAGCTAACAGGGCATTAATTTGTGTCCTTACGCACTGAGGTAACGTCTTTCTCGCTCTAGATGTCTGATATAAGAAAACGTGCATGTTTCTTCCAAAACCATCACTATCATGAGATGATAATTAGATTTGGTTAGGAAGCCTTTCATGTGGAGCAGGTGTGGTGATGTGAAGAAGGAATCAGATCGGTATGCCTTCGGGCGAGAAGTGCCTCTTGAGGATAGTGTTCCCAATTAAATGAAAGCATGACCAGAGTCACATCCAGGTTTGAATTATCTGTGTCCGAGCTATGGTCTTGAGATGTGTTACATACTAGTAGGTGAAAACAGAATTGGTATGGATTTATATGCAGATTCACTCCGTCGCCGGGCTACAATAACACAGATCTTCCATTGATTTTGATCAATTGCAACTCTTTGTAAAACAGGGCCCGGGATAATACATTTGGTGTTCCACAACATTTATTTTGTTTCATATCATAGATATTCTTTTGCTGTTTTTCCCCACATGAATCTGGCTGCTGACGGAGAGCCTGTAATGCAACTCTTCTTATCTTGTATTCTTTCATACAGCATTAATACCCCTATTGCTCTCAGCGGAAGAGTTCTGTTCCAGACTGTTTGCCCTTGATTCTGCTTGTGTGCGTGGGAAGGAGACTCCCTCCGCCAAGAGACTCTGAAATGGAGTCTGAAGTGTTAGGTTTAAAATCTAGTGGGAAATCAGCGAATTTCGGTCAGGTTTAGAGAACATTCAAGACCTTTTTAAAAACAGGATTTTTTTTAATGTTAGCCTTCTTTTATTTTTGTTTTTTTCCACTAAGTTTGAAAGAAAAATTGAGAAAAAAAAGGGAATGAAGAGATGCTGTCTAGAATTCCCAATGGGTTTGTATTATTTTTGTTAAGTATGTTTGTCTGGAAGTTTAATCAAGAGAACATAATGGGAAAAGGGGGTCAATGGACAATCGGAATTAGAAGTCATACTGCTAGCTGATAGTTGAGTGTGAAGGGGAGAGAGACGGACAGAGAGAGAGAGACATATGCAGAGAGAGGTTTATGAGGTTAATAAAGCAAATGTAATCGACATACCATTGGGAACTTGATAGAAATGGGTGTTGGATGAGAGAGAGAGAGAGAGAGAGAGAAAGAGAGAGAGAGAGAGAGAGAGAGAGAGACATATGCAGAGAGAGGTGTATGAGATAAACAAAGCAAATGTCATCGCCATACCATTGGGAACTTGATAGAAATGAGTGTTGGATGAGAGAGAGAGAGAGAGAGAGAAAGTGAGAGAGAGAGAGAGAGAGAGAGACATATGCAGAGAGAGGTGTATGAGATAAACAAAGCAAATGTCATCGCCATACCATTGGGAACTTGATAGAAACGGGTGTTGGATGAGAGAGAGACAGAGAGAGAGAGAGAGAGAGACAGAGAGAGACACAGAGAGAGAGATGCAGAGAGAGGTGTATTAGGTAAATAAAGCAAATGTCATAGTCATACCATTGGGAACTTGATAGAAACAGGTGTTGGATGTAAGAGAGAGAGAGAGAGACAGACAGACAGACAGAGAGAGAGAGAGAGAGAGTTTTAAAAGAGACATTTTGTATGATGCTATCATATCATTACCTGTTCACTGATGCATACTATTAGCATGTATACATTGCAGGCCACTTCTATTATACCATCTAAGGAAGATATGAAACTCTGAATACCCATCTAAAGTGAGGGGAGACCCAAAATTACTAAAAATTTGTTGGCAAAATCTCACTTAAATTGTATCATAAGATAAAAAGAGGATGTCGTTTAAGACACACTACTGCAAAGATTTCTCCCCTAAAAATGTGATTGAAGACAAATATTGATAAAGAAATACGTAATTTTGGTTTTCTGTTGTACGCCAAAAACCTTAAATTTGTATTCTGTCATCAATAGTCAACTTCAAACACATTTGTTTTGAAAACCGTTGCAGAAATGTGTCTTAAATGACATTCTCTTTCACACTATGATACAATTTAAGTTAAATTTTGCCATCAAATTTTTTTGGGGGCTCCCAACCCATTACAGGGGCTTTAAATCTGTCGTATTTGAAGATTACTAAACAAGCTTTTTTAATTCACCAACCATTTTAGATACATTGTCATACCATGAAGTCATGAGCTATTTCTCATTTTATTATATCGTTTCTTAAATTCTTGCGTTCTTTCTCGCCTCTCTTTCTTCCTCTCTAGGTTTTTGTCTTTCATTCCTTGATGAAATGATTTTGAATCACATTTTTTAAAGTTTGTAAAAAAAGATCTGCTGTTCGCTCATTTTTAAAGTTACTTAGATACGTTTGCGTGGGGAGGGGGCAATTTTATTTGCCCCGGGTACCATCATCCCTGGATACTCCACTGCTAGTTATTATGTCATTATGCTACTTATAAAAGTAAAAGAGAAAGAGAAAATAGTATGCTGCAAACAAAATACATCACTACACTCTATCATTTCATATAAAGCTCCAAAGCCCGGAGCTTTATAGACAGTTTCCTAAAGTAACCAAATTCGTAACTTTAGCACTGGACCCAACACCATATCTAACCCATACCATACACATACACGTAACAAAATAAAGAATTGCGACCCAAATCCTAACTCCCTATCTTTGGGCAAATGCCAACAGAGCGTTTGACTGAGCCCCAAAGAAAGATCGTCATTTTGTCTTTCATTACATGTAAGGTGTAATTTCCCAAGGTACCCATAGCTTTTTCTTGTGTTTCAAACCCATTCAGATATTCTATTACTGTATGCTCAATTATGCAGCCACTTCTCATTGTAGTAATGCATTCCCGTACATGATAGAAATCAATCATAGAATGTCTAATAGGAGACGAGATGGGATTTTTCTTTTCTCACTTCCCCGATTTCAAGATAAGAGCAGGAGAGAGGAACAGAGAAAGTGAAAGGAAAGAGGAGATAGAGTAGGAGAGAATAAAAGAAAGAGAAGAGATGAGAGGGAGAGAGAGAGAGAGAGAGAGAGGGGGGGGGGGAGAGAGAGAGAGAGAGTGAGAGAGGAAACGAGGGGGAGATAGAGAGGGGGAGGAAAGCAATAATTAAAAAGTAATATTAGATGGACAATTTCAAATAGAGTAACAGAGAAATGAAGAGGCTTCAAAAAGTAGATGGAGAAAGAGAAAAAGGGAGCAAGAAAGTGAATATTACAAATCTATTAAAGAGAAAGAAAGGAGGGGTGGATATCTGAGATAGATGCAATTTGATAAGTGAAATACAATCTTAATTCATACCTGTCATAAAGACAAAAATATGTTTAAAAAGGAATGAAATATTAAGAAAAAGCAAGAAAGAGAGACCGAGAGAGATGGGGAAAGAAATATATAGGTAAAAGAGAGAAAGAAGGAGTGAGAAAGAGGGAGGAGCGAGACAGAGAGAGAAAAGAGAGATAAGAAGAGGGAAAGTGAGAGATACACTTTGCAATGAAGTGAAATCCAATCTTCATTCTCTAGTCATGGCATCCATCACCATTATGACACCCAATGTCCGTCCGGTCAGGACGCTCGTTTTGGAGCCACAAGGAGCCGCTAGGGAGTCCGATGCTTTGCAAGGGTGAACAGTCTGTGCGGGCAATTTCCTTGTGTTCACACAGAATGAAATCGTACTAGTACTACATATACCATGAGAGGAATAACCT